ATCGATTCTCCATAAATCTGCATCAAAATCTGGGAACAACATATTTTAAAGATGTTTTGTCAAATTTTCTGGGCTGTCCCCTTCAAAATGTGCAAAATGCATGGGGAGCCCCATATGACCCACTGCGAAGGCCATATCTTAGGAAATATTTATCCGATTCTTGAACGGAATACCTTAAACGATTTGTGGATCGATTCTCCATAAATCTGCATCAAAATCTGAGAACAAAATATTTTAAAGATTTTTGTCAAATTTTCTGGGCTGTCCCCTTCAAAATGTGCAAAATACATGGGAGCCCCATATGACCCACTGCAAGGCCATATCTTAGGAAATATTCATCCGATTCTTGAACGGAATAACATAAAATTTGTGGATCGATTCTTCATAAATCTGCATCAAAATCTGGGAACAAAATATTTTAAAGATTTTTGTCAAATTTTCTGGGCTGTCCCCTTCAAAATGTGCAAAATGCATGGGGAGCCCCATATGACCCACTGCGAAGGCCATATCTTAGGAAATATTCATCCGATTCTTGAACGGAATACCTTAAACGATTTGTGGATCGATTCTCCATAAATCTGCATCAAAATCTGGGAACAACATATTTTAAAGATTTTTTGTCAAATTTTCTGGGCTGTCCCCTTCAAAATGTGCAAAATGCATGGGGAGCCCCATGTGACCCACTGCGAAGGCCATATCTTAGGAAATATTCATCCGATTCTTGAACGGAATACCTTAAACGATTTGTGGATCGATTCTTCATAAATCTGCATAAAAATCTGTGAACAAAATATTTTAAAGATTTCTTGTCAAATTTTCTGGGCTGTCCCCTTCAAAATGTGCAAAATGCATGGGGAGCCCCATATGACCCACTGCGAAGGCCATATCTTAGGAAATATTCATCCGATTATTGAACAGAATACCTTAAACGATTTGTGGATCGATTTTCCATAAATCTGCATCAAAATCTGAGAAAAAAATATTTTAAAGATTTTTTGTCAAATTTTCTGGGCTGTCCCCTTCAAAATGTGCAAAATGCATGGGGAGCCCCATATGACCCACTGCGAAGGCCATATCTTAGGAAATATTCATCCGATTCTTGAACGGAATACCTTAAACGATTTGTGGATCGATTTTCCATAAATCTGCATCAAAATCTGAGAATAAAATATTTTAAAGATTTTTTGTCAAATTTTCTGGGCTGTCCCCTTCAAAATGTGCAAAATGCATGGCCATATCTTAGGAAATATTCATCCGATTCTTGAACGGAATACCTTAAACGATTTGTGAATCGATTTTAAATAAATCTGCATCAAAATCAGAGAATAAAATATTTTAAAGATTTTTTGTCAAATTTTCTGGGCTGTCCCCTTCAAAATGTGCAAAATGCATGGGGAGCCCCATATGACCCACTGCGAAGGCCATATCTTAGGAAATATTCATCCGATTCTTGAACGGAATACCATAAACGATTTGTGGATCGATTCTTCATAAATCTGCATCAAAATCTGGGAACAAAATATTTTTAAGATTGTTTGTCAAATTTTCTGGGCTGTACCCTTCAAAATACCCTTCAATGTACCCTGAAAAAATTTTGCCCACTGGGCCTTTTTCCTTAAATCCGCCACTGTTCCAGATAATCCAAAATATTAGTTATTTGTTCAGCTGACAAGCCCGAAAGCGAGGATTATACGTACATACATTAGTCCATTTCTATGGATCCTGTCAAACGAAGATGAAAACGGCGCGCCGTTACGCCGCGGCGTAAAAATAAAGCTGGACTGAAACATGAAATTCGCTAAAAGTTTCCAGTCCGAAATTTGGTGTTTTTTCGTTTTGTTCGGGTTTTTTTTTGTCCATTGGATCGTTTATGGATGGTGCACTGGGCTGGCGAGTGTTTGTGTGTGTGTTTGGAATGCGGCAAATTGCTCTGGCCAGAGGAACGTGAAAACAACAGAAATAGTAGTGAAAGGAGAAAAGTGGAAGAAGTACCGGGAGCGAACAGCGCTTTTCCCAGCGGACTGCAAGTTGGGTTTGTTGAAAATTAAATACCAATTTCTGGTACATGGCGATGGCCCTTTGTTGTTCCAGCCACTGTACCTCTCCCGACTGGTTGCAACATTTCAAATAACATTTCAACTTTTCAGCACTCGCCATCGTCAGCAGACAAAATTCTGCTTCGTTTGCCCCACCGTCGACCCCCCAATCCACCCCCTTGTCATTCGGCAGTAGCATTTATTTATTTGTATTTGTGCGCGCAGCTCAATTACGTTTAACGCTTTTGACGTTTCACAACATGGCCAACACACATACGCACTCCTGCCGGCCCCCACTCACACACTCGCCCATGTTCAGGGAGAGGGTTCCGTTGAGTCGTTGATTGCGGCGGACAGGACAGAGCAGGGACTCTACTTCTCCCCCAGTACCTCCCTTTTCCACTCCTTTTCCATTCTTCGCTGCCTCCTGCTCCTGCCCCTTATTTTCGAGGCAAACCTTTTGGAAATTGTTGAAATTTTTCAACCTTGTTTCGTATATTCAATACACTTACCAATAAATCTACAATATTTTACTAATAATTAAAATAAAATAAAGCAATACATTTTTTAATTTGCATGAGGTAAGCCTATAGGTTTATGTATAAGAATATCTCTTAGAATTGTTTATTTTTGTTGAGAATTCCATAAATAATAGTTCTAATTACAACTATGTGATAATAAAATACATTGTTTAAATTATTTTTAAAGCACTTTGGTAAAATCTAAACTAGTTTTCCAAACAAAATAAGGTGTATACATTATACTCAAAAATTTATTATTTTTGTTTAAAACATATAAAAATTATATCAATTATTCGATGTGCCAACGGATTATCAAGGGCTAAGAATTTTCCTCGGTGTATCTGGTTGCGCTTAATTGGTTCTGTCAGCAGCAGTCACGGTGGCTGGACCAGCAGGGGCAGATTAAAAAAGTTCTCCTAAAATAACATTAGCAGCATGGCGAATGCGAGTAAATGGTCAGGGAATGATTGGGTGAGGAGAGGAGGGATTTAGGGGCCAGAAAAGAGTGGAATTTAAAGCATGTGGCCTGGCTGGAAGATCTGAGCAAACAATTTGCTTAGTTATTGATATGAACAGAACAGAAACGGAGGAAGCGAGATGCCCCAGAAAGAAAGGGAGGAGACGACACTGCGGCACTTCATTTCCGGGCTTCCGCTTTTCTAATAATGAGAGTTTGCCGTAATCTCGCGAAATGTACAATCCGATTGTGGCAGTAGGGCCAGCCAGAATCCTGGACCAGCAGAAGCTGGCACGTGAACAATGTGAGTATTTTCGATTGGAAAAGTTGGACAAGGAGGCCGGGCGGAGGCGAATGCCGAGACGGAGAAGCAGCTCCTGGTCCTTGGGTCCTGTAAGTGTGCTCATTCGTATCAAAAAGAGTCACGTACAAATGGCAGCTACGGCAGCCAGAGCATCCGCTTTACAGTTTTGCACTCAATTGCTTATGAAATTAATAGGATATGTCAGTGGTTAGTATTGACCGGAAGTAATACAATTGATAAGGATTATGGATGGCCAACTGTGTGGTGGTGCTACTGTTCGGCTATGTGCGTGCCCGGATTTCTTAATATCCTTCCAACTCTCGCCCTGTCACTCATCATCGGTTTGGCTAACGGGGCGTATGAGTGTTATTGACGTGTGTGTCCGGACTTCGGACCCAGGAGTTCCTGTGCCGCTATGTGGTTATTGGCTTAGCCACAAATTAGCATATATAATGCAGCTGGCAAGCTGCTGACCTCAGAACCTCATCCTTCCCACATTCACAGCCCACAGCCCCTCCTCGGCCATTACAGCCATCCACACACGCTATTGTTTGGCTCGGCGTATGTGCAATTATTAATTCAGAATTTTCATTAGGCTCGCAGCTCGACACGTTTATTGTGCGTCCCGTTGTGGTGGCTGTTGTTTTTATTTAAATAATTTAATTGCTTTTCGATTTGTTTACAAGTTGAAAATGCAAATTTGCTGCCTATGCTTCGGGCGGTGAATTGACTGCAATTTAAGTCTCGCGTTAATCCGCTTCCCAACGAACATGGACCAGACGCATATACACCATTGAAGTCAAGTAATTGCATCTCTACCAGAAGCTTCAACTTGACTTAAAATAACTAAGGAATAAAGAAAATTATTGAAAGATATATAGATAAAATATAAAAGAAATAAATATAATACTATAAATATATATTAAATATTATATCAATATTTAACAAATTAAAGCAATTATTTTAAATTATTTGTAGCTTGTTATTAAATACATTTAATAACCTTATCAGTTCATTACTTACCTTAAGTATTGAATATGTGGCTCTTGTTGCTATTTGTTGCTGCTTTGCTTGTTTGTTTATTGATTGTTGCATATTTCTTGGGTTGAATTAGTGTTGTTTTGGATAATTGCAGTTTATTGATTGTTGAATATTTCTTGGGTTGAATTAGTGTTGTTTTGGATAATTGCAGTGTTTTCCGATTCGTTTTTTAAAAGCAACGAATACAAGAATTGAAAACATTTATCGGAACAAGAATAAAAAAAAAGAGAATAAACCAAAGTAAAAAATTCTCTTTTTTTTTGTGTTAAGGTTTTTGGAGTTTTTGGGCGTGGTTGTGTGTGGTTTTTGGTTTTCTTTCTATTTTTCTTCCTCCTCTGCTAATCGTGCTTCCGATTGACCACTAGCTTAATTATTTTTTGGCGTAGGCTACACAGATATGGTCTTCGATCTTCATCGTCATCTCATCGTCCCCCGTTAGTAGAGCAGGCCGAACTCATTGCTCTCCTCTTCCTCTTCGATCAGATCATCGATATCAAAGTCGGCGGGCTCTACGGCGGGTGAGGACCGCACCTTCGGACATTGGACTACCTGAATTAGCTGCTGCTGTTCCAGCTCCTGTTGTTGTTGCGGCTGGAACTGGGTGTTCCGCGCCCGGGAGCTGCTCTGCTTGAGGACCTGACTCACTGGAATCTTGCCGCTGGTGCCAGTGGCGTGCCCTGGCTGGGATTGCCTACAACGGTAATGCCGGAGGACGATGTCGCCGGCTCCGGACTGGCTATGTTGTAGCGCGTCCGCTTGTTCTCCAGCTTGCTGGCCCAGTACTCGGTGGCACGGCGACGGGCATTGGCACAAATATTGTCCCCGCTAGAGGATGACGAGGCTGTCCCCGCCGCCGTTGGGGACGACTTGGCGGATGAGTCATCATGGAAGGGTATGTGGCGGCGCCCGTCCTGCGTCTGGTTATCCACAAGAACATAGCTCTCGAACTGTTTCAAGCGCTGGACACTGTTGATCGGGGAGGTGGACAGTGCCGTGGCACTTGCCTCCTTTTCAGACTTCCCGTGGTCCGGCTGGGTGTTCACAACGATATTGTTATCGCCCGGCACCTTGTTCTCGTTCATGATCAGCTCCTCGAGTTCCGAGGGGTCGGCACCAACGAAATGCCGTCGTTTAGAGCGGATATGTAGCCATTCCTCGGCAGAACGTTGCTTCCGGAACTCGAAAACGATCGGATAAATATGCTGGATAGCCGCCTCCACATTTTTGACACTAGCCGCTATAGAATCATCACATTAATATCATGTCAATATTCTGTAGAAGATCCTTACCTGTCACCGTGATGCTGCCGGTTGAGAAGATCTTTAAGGTGGCCTTGGGATCGAGAATTTTGTAGGTAACACCCGGATGCAATTCCGGCTCATAGCTGGCATTCTCACGATGCCGTTCCGAGAAGTTGACAATCTTGATGGCCCAAGGCATGCTGCAGGTGCCTAGGACGTTCACAATCCGAAAGTTCTGAAAGCGTGTGGGAAACCCCAGTTTTCCCAGGTACCTGGCATACCGACGTGCTGCAACTTTGGCCTAAAAACACAATACATTTCAATAAAGTTGGAATCGAATTGGTGGCATAATAGCTTATCCTACCAGTGGCTCTGAGGTGGCACCGGTACAGGTGATCCTGCCCGAGGACCAGATCGAGGCTGTCGTATAGGGATGACGCATCTTCATGGTCACCATTCCGTTCTCCCGACGATACTCCACATTGGCGCCTTTCAGGGCAATTTCGCGCAGCTTCAGGTGGCAACGCACACTGAAGGAGCACACCACATTGTTGATGACAATGTCCAGTTCGGGATGCGGTTCTTCAGGGCCGGTCGGCTGGCCAGGGGTAGCGGTAGCCGAATTCGAATTGCTAAGTTGGGTGAGTTCCAAAGGCTCGTCCGGCTTCGGTTCCGCCTCTGGGTTCAGCGGCTTCTTCTCCAGCTGCGACTCCTGCTGCTGTGAGGATGGATCGGAGGCGGCCGACTTGCGGCTATCCTCGCTCTCCGCCTCCTCGATGATCACAGTGTTTAGATCGGCATCAATGTCCATTGAATCCATTTTATTGAAAGTCAACAGGGCACTAGTGTTGAGGCTGCCGTTTGTCGTTTTAGGATAGTAGTCAAACATATTAGGATAGTATCAACAACAATTTGACAATGACTTTTGCCTCACAGCATGAATTGGTCGTTAAAATTTAATAAAACTTTTGACATTTATTTTGTGTAAGTCTGACCAGACTAAAATGCATAATTTTAGACGGCTGGCATCTCTACTAAAATCAAATCACGAAATAATATGTGTCCCATGAAAAGGGGTTAGTTCTATATTACGCTTTTAGAATTCGTGATTGTTTTCGCATAAACATAGTATATTTCATCAATTACAGCTGGAAATATAACTATTAAATAAATAAGTGTGCTGTATACTTAAAGCAAACAGTGTGTGTGCATAATAAAATTAACAATCGATTCTGTAGATATGAATGCACAGCAGTCATATAGTTTTAATAAATAAATAATAATTGTTGCTTCTGAAGTTGCATCTGCCGACAAACCATTCGATTGGAGCATCGATTTTTCGCCCACCCCAAATGCGGTTATCTCTAGTCCCCCAATATTTACATTGGCAATTTCCAGAGCCAGCCAGATTTCTGCTGGCTGCTTATATAACCACATTAGGCCAAAGGCAACGGGAGTGCTCTGAGAGCAAAGTCAAAGCTGTCCGGCCAATTCAATTTGTTTGTCTCACTATCAGAAGAGCATCCGCTGGCGCCATCGCTTCCTTTGCCCTCCACCTCGACTGGCTACATCCTCCACTATTCCCAAGTTGCATTCGGAGCTTCTGCTCTTCCTATTGCTGCTGCTCTTCCTGCTGCTGGAGGTGCTCTGGATGCCGGAAATTATTATTGGTTTGTTAGTGCGAGTTGCTGATCCAAAGATCCCAATGGTAAACTCTCGACGGCGCAATGATGAAGCTAACCAAAAAGTTTTCCTCTTGCCGACTCTCTCGAGGAAGATAGTTATCTTTCGAACTCTCAAGGACCTACATATTTCCCAAGCCTTAATATAAAGGACATACTTGTAAATAGTAAAAGATATATGAGTATTCTGGAGAATATTTACCGCTGAATGGAATACTAACTTCAATTCGTATGAATATTAAAGCAATTATTAAATTTATAAAAGAAAAAGTATCAAAAAGAGGTATCGGTAGTCCTGCCACGCTACTGCATTAAAATACGTATAGAATTTTTTGCCTCCGCCAAGGCAGAGTTAACTTTTACCATTCCAACGCATTGCCCAACCATTGTCTCCGGCTCCAAAGGAAAACTTTGCTCATGAACTTAATGCCAGGGGTGAGGGATGGTACGTAGCGGCTCAAGGAAGTGGGGCAGCGAAGGCATGGATGGCGATGCATAATGCGTGCCAGATCCCCAAAGGGATGAGGAGGATAGCACGAACACATCCTGATGACTTTGGGCATTATTCTTAAATCCGATCCAATTAAAATGTAGCCAACTTGCATATGCAATGCAATTTAATTAACGTCGCTGGGAGATTTTTGTTTACTGCCCTTTTGCCACTGATCCACTCGTGCCTTCGGAATTATGCTCCAGCTTCTGACTCATACTCATGCTCCTGCTCCTGCTCCTGCTCCTCCCTTCCGGTCAGCTTCGAAAAGCATATAAATATCCACTCAGACAGCCGTGTGTGTGTGCGTACATCCGGTTGTGCATGGCCAGCATATCCTTCATATCCTCCAGTTCATTATGCAACAATTATGCAGACCAAAGCATGCGTTTAATCTTTTACCCAACACACGTACGCATTACGTAGCCATCTATCTCCGTCTCCGTTGCACTCGCTGCCATCGCCCATCTCCCTCCCTGCCCCTTGGCATTTTCTGTGCGATTTAATACGCATTTAAATGCAAATTTATATTCGAAATTATCTACGTGAAGAAATCTTCGGGTTTTAATAACATTTACGCAATTCGCCAACAATCGTTCAGCAATATTATTTTTTCCGGGCTTTGTAATTTTCCAAGAAAATCCTTTGGCTGAAGAGCTTCAAGAATATGTTCTTATGAGTTTGAGAGATAAATTTAAAATATAAATGATTTTAAATCTGAATTTAATTTTAAATGTAGAGAAAAAAAAATATAACACTGCATAAGTTATACAAAAATTAATTAATAAAACCGAACCATAAACTTCTTTCTTTTTTCTAGAAGGTTCTAAAAATTGTGATTGCAAGGCAATTAAATTTGCAGAAAAAGTCGCCATAATTAAACAGAAAATAATGACTCTTCCTCTGTACGGGGATGCAATAAAATTCATTATCCTGAACATAATTAAAATTGATAGACAACGGAGGCGGTCAGTTTATTAGTTTACAAAGCGTTAATTGCATTCGTCGACCCGGTTACTCCCGCTTTGCATTTGACGGCCCTATTTCCCAGCCCGTTTTCGGTCTCCACCCGACCCTTCTTGGCCCTGAGAGAGTAAATCGCCCATCACGTCCCAAAGAAGAAGTAGAACAACAAGGACGTGAACGAGATGAGACGGCCATAAATCGAAATCAAATCAAATGCCTGGCAATGTGGACTATAAAATACTTGGCAAGAGTTTTACTCTTGTTGTGACTGAATCTTCCCTTTTCCCTGGGCCACGCCCACACGCCCACATGACCAATGGTTTTGGCTGCCCTACGAACGCCTTTTATGAAATCGTCCAGAACTTTGTTTTCAATGGCAATATTTTTGTAAGAATAAAACGTCTCTTTTCGCATTGTATTTGTTAATAGAGCATGTTTCCTACATCGTCTAGCTGGCTGTCTTTTAAAGACAAAACCGAAAAGGTTATTAATTTTCAAAACTAAGAAAGTACAATTTTCTTTTTATTAGGAAGAAAGGAAAATACAATACTTTAATTGATTATTCTATTCGGAAAAATATTAAACAAAAACCCCTTCATATAAGTAAATACTTTATATTTAGAAATAAAATCTTGAAGGGTATGGTACTAGCCGGTCAAGAGTTTATTGAAGTATGTATGTTTTTTGCTGTTTTTTTGCGTAATTCTAGGCAACTTAGAAAAATATTTCTGTGATACGGGCGTTATCCCTCACAGTATTCCACTCCATCCCAAAAGTGAATCGCTTTTTATTAGTTGAGGCAGCTTGCGTTGAATTGATTTGTTGTTATCGCATTGTTTGTGGGCTGTGGCCAAGTAGCTAGACGAATAGATTCGGATACGGATAGCCAAAGTGGACGAAGGGATATATGTAGCCTGTTGTCGTCTCGTTTAGGGATGTGTCATGTGGCAATCAAAATTGAAAATAAAAGGCAACAGCTGCCTTGTCAACAAAATAAATCAGCGAAAGCAATTTCATTATTTGGCAGTAAACGCGATAAACTGTTTCGGCTTGCACTCGAAGCAGATGTTCGACTTGGCTTTTATAGTAGTGGGTCGAAAAGTTGGAATTATTTTCGGTACTAAATTGTTTCCTTAGCAGTTGTGCATACATGCACATTAGTACGAGTATGAGAATGAGTGCGTATACAATTAGCAGCTTCCTCTCGACTTATTTTATTAATTGAGCTGCAGAAAGTTTAACATCCTCTTTCACAACCTTATCCTTGACACCTCTTCGCACTGTGAAAAAAATGTTTTCGACGAGTATTTTGAGGATTATTAATTTAAATTTTAAACAGAAATTAAGTTCAAGAACCTATTCAAGAAACCTACAAACAATTTAGAATAAAACTATAGAAGAGAGAAAAAAGAAGAGGGAAGCCGGAAAGGCGCCACTGCTTTTCTTCCCGTGTTTTGATTCCTGTTTCCGCATCCTGCATCTCCTGCGGCAAGGTGGCACCAGCAACAGGAAACTGAGTTCGGCAAATCAGGGAACCGGAGTCAGGACCGCCGTTGAAGTCATGGCAACAACGTATGGAAATCCCCATGTGCGTGTGCACACAAAAGTTGCTCTGGGAATTGCTCGAGGAGAGTTCGTCGGTTGGTTGAATGTGGCCTAGGAGGTAGTGGGTAATAGAACGTGGACGGGGTAACCCAGCCACAGCAGCTGAGATTGGGACTCTCGGAGGCGAGTGCTTCTAATAAAATTTCATTAAATACACCAACAACAGACAAGTGCACGCAATTATGGTGAGATAGTTAAGTTTTTGATTGTGGGAATCACGCATGAGTACGCACACTCGCACCGACACACACATTTCTTAAGGTCTTCCCTCTCTCTTAAAAACTATTTTATTTTTTTGTGGTAAAAACAATTCTCAACTCAAGTCGTGACGCAAAATTTTCGTACATTTTGTGCGAGAATTTCAGTTTTAACAATTGCCTCAATTTATGTCGCAAAAGTTTCCCATTTCGAATGTACAACTTCTGCCCTAAAATGGGGAAAGGGAAGTGGGAGGTGGGGAAGTCAACTACGCGTGTAATAAATTTCAATGCGTTGTCGTTTAATTAATGATAACAAATTGGGGCGCAGGAGCAGAAACAGGAGCAGCCGACGACGCCAATTAATGCCCTCAAAGCCCGGAATGCCCCTGCCCCGAGAGCTCTAACCAGCAACCACACCCACTCCTCCAAAGAACTCCGCACTCGGATATAAAGAGAGACACACATTTGGCGTTAATTCAATTTAACAAATATTGACATATGCTAATTTATACAAATGTCTTCCAGACCCTGATTCACCGTTCTGGTTGGATCCGAAGTCGGGGATAATTGATTATAAAAACTGGCAACTGAGCCACATTAAAGCACAATTATTTGCAGAAGTCTTTCGTCACGGTTGGATTAAAAGGGAGTAGGTTCATCATTTATGAAAGAATTAGTGTTGGTGGCATGTAGCAGAGAAGCGGTAATCTGAATTGGCATATTACCGTAAGGCTTATGTGGTATTACCAGGAACACATTTCTCATGGTTCTCTTCCTTTTTTTTTCTATATTTTTGCATTTGTATTTAAATATTAGCGTATTTTTCAACAAAATTATGTTATTAAATACATACATACATATATGGTATTTAGAACTATATAACACTTTTTAGCAACGTTTTACAAAGGGATTTTACAATAATAATATAAATAAATATACTGTATGTATATATAAATA